GTGGTGACGGTGGTGATGTGATGATGGTGATGTTGGTGGTGGTGACGATGGTGGTGATGGTGGTGACGGTGGTGGTGATGGTGGTGACATGGTGGTGATGGTGGTGGTGATGATGGTGACGGTGACATCACCTGACATTATTCAGTGCTATGTGTCCAGCCATGTTTCAAGCTCTTTAGCTGGATTCTCTTCTTTAACTTTCATAATAACCCTTCAGAGAGTAGATTCCTGATTGCTTTGATTTGACCAAGAAGGAAACTGAGACTCAGGGAGGTGAGTGATTCACTCAACGTCACAGAGCAAGTAGCTGATGGACCTGATAGTCATGCCTCAGAGTCTGACGCAAGCATCGTGCTCTAACCACTGCACCACACCGCCTTGTCCACCACAAGCTGTGAGCACCTGGACAGAGCCTGTCTCTGAGCTCTCCCTGCGTCCCCGGCTCCGAGACTGGGAACTGCACACGGTCGGTGCTCAGGAAGGCCTCTCAGCATGGCCTGTGCACAGTGATTTCTGCAGATGTAAAACCTGCTCTGTGCATTGATCCATTCCCTTTGCAGGCAGTAAGCATATCAATGGATTTGAAACCGTCGTAGATTCGTGAATAAAAGCATACAGTTTTTGGCCAACGCAGGTCCCTTGGCTGACTCTTCCTGAAAGCATCGTTTCTGGGACATCCCATTGTCTGCTTTCCAACCAGTCAGGCCACCCAGAATCTGCTGTCCCAGCCCCACCCAGGCCCCCAGAGACTCAGGGATCCTGGCTGCTCCATGAGCCAGTGGGTGAGGACCGTTCCAGCTCCGAGGCGAGAAGACCTGTGATGACCCTTGGACTCAGCTGCCTGGGTCTCAGGAGGAAGGATTGGGGAGGAGGGGTGGGCAGGGGCTGGGGGAGGGGAGGTGACAGCTTGATCTGTTGCGGAAAGAGAGAGGGGAGGGATACTTCCCCGCAGACAAGCTGTTCGCTTACCAGCTGAATTTGGTGAAAGAAAGAAAGAAAAAACACTTTCCCAGTGCCATCTGCTCCCAGAGAGAGGCTGGTGTGGGGCCTGGGGCTCCCTGGGGCTCGGGCAGCCAGACCCAGTTTCAGAATCTGAGACAGCTGCCCCTTGGGTTATTTTGGGAAGCTGCTCAGCGCTGAGGCACCCCGGCCTTCGAGGCATTTCCCGTCACTCCGGAGCTGCTTGCACACCAGCCCAAGACTGCCAGCTCCTTCCCCAGCCCTGGATGGGTTCCAATTCAGCCCACAGTAATTGTCCTGCTTCCAGCTCTGGCTGCAACAACGCCAACCGGGGTCAGATTTCTCGGGACGGAGGAGAGAGGGAGGCGAGGGCGGTGGGCTCTGCAGTCCCCCTTCTCAGACTCCTTTGTAGGACTCAGCCCCTCCACCTGCCAGCCCAGGGTGCCCGTCCCGTCCCATTGCTCAGCCCTCCATTCTCTCCCCAGAGATGCCCCCACCCCTCTCATCCCGAGGGTGGGGGGGGGGGTCTCAGCAGGAAATGACAACATCCAAAGGGCCTGGGAAGATCTTGGGCCTCTCAGGGAAGGACCTGAAGACAGCTTGGAGAGGATGGGGTGGGTAGGAGATAGAACACAGTCAGTGAGTAGACACAAAGCCTGCAGCGCCGGGAGGACCCAGAGCGTCCGGGAGCAGGGAGCTTTTCAGCAGCACAGCAACGGGCTCGGGCTCCCAGGACAGGAAAACGCCAACCTCGGCTATGGAATTGGGGTCAGAGGGGAGAGAGGCAGAGAGCCCGCCTGGAGAGTCACCACACCGAGCCCCGTGGATGGCGAGCGCCTGGACTTCCAGGGGCGGAAGGGAGGGGAGGAGGGCCTGGGCCTGAGAGGCGAGGAAAAGGCAGAAAGGAGGCAGTGCCCGGGTTAGGGATGGTGGGGGGGTGGGTATGGGGGGTCCAGACTGAGCCACAGGTCTCAGGCTTGGGAACCCAGAGGCTGGTGTGCGCGTTCAGTCGTTTCAGTCGTGTCCGACTCTCTGCGACCCCATGGCCTGTAGCCCGCCAGGCTCCTCTGTCCACGGGATTTCCCAGGCAAGAACACTGGAGTGAGTGGCCATGCCCTCCTCCAGGGGATCTTCCCGACCCAGGGATCAAACCCAGGGTTCCTGTGTCTCCTCCTGCATTAAGGGGCTGGGGAGTCAGGAGGCAGGACAGCGGAAGGGGCAAGTTCTGACTTCAATCTGGTGAGTTTGGGGTAGGAACCCCAAGGGGCACTGTGCCCTGGGCAGCTCAAAATGTGGGTCTGGTCAGGCAGGAAGGAGCCTGGTGGTTGCCAGGGGCTGGAGGGTGGGGATAAAGAGTTTCGGTCTAACAGGTATTGAGTTTCAGCTTTGCAAAATGAATAGCATTCTGGAAATGGTGGTGATGGTGCCACACAGGGTACTTAATGCCACTGAACCACAAACGTTACAATGCCTAAAATGGAAAATTTCATTATGTGTATTTTACCGCAATAAAAAAATTTTAATGGCTGCAACCCTCCCATTAAATGCAGAGACATTCAGATCAGATAAAAACACACAACTATTTGGGTCTATAGGAAAGCCTCTTTAGAGGACTTTCCTGGTGGTCCGGTGGTTAAAACTCCATGCTTCCAAAGCAGAGGGTGCGGGTTTGATCCCTGGTCAGGGAACTAAGATGCCTCTCAGTGTGGGCAGAAACATTTTCTTTAAAAACTCTCTTTAAAAATAAAGACACAGATCCTTTACAAGGAAAAGAATAGAAAAGATTCCCTGCTAACACTGAAAGGAAGCTTATAAGGAGCTGTATTAAAATCAAAGCGGATTTCAGAGCAAGAGAGATATTATAAAGGATTAAGAGGACATCAAAAGGCTGTGACAATCGCCGAAGAGCAGTAGGCAGGTTGGCACTAGGGGGTCTCTCTCTCTCTCTCTCTCTCTGTTCCCATACCCACCTTCCCACCAGCCTCCTATCTTAGGCACCCTTCCTTGTACCTGGACCCCAGCTCCTGCCCACCTGCCCAGGTGCCTCCCTCCAGTAAGATGCTCCCTGTCATGTTGAATCTCTTCTCATCCAGAGCCTTCCCGTGGGCATTTACACAGGCTCAGCCCTCCCCACTCACAAGCAGTCACATCCCCCGAGGCCCCAGGTTACTGGCTGGCTTCTCACCAGGCTCCACGGAGAGAAAGCATGAAATCAACCCCCCTCCTACCGCAAATCCTCAGGGTCTTTGCTCCCTCGCTTCTGCAGGCCTCCCTGCCACCTCGTCCATCCTCACTATTTCTCAGCTTGAAAACAAGTTAGAAAAAAATTTTATTTTTGTAGCTTTATTGAGGAATACTGTCCACACATTGGACATGAGTTTGAGCCAACTTCGGGAGATGGGTGAAGGACAGGGAAGTCTGGCTGCAGTCCATGGGGTGGCAAAGAATGGGACACGACTTAGCGACTGAACAGCAACAACGTACAAAAAGTAACTTTTCCCAATTTTAAGTGTGTGATTTGATGAGTTTGAAAAATGTGGACAGTCACGTGAGCACAATGAACCCATAGAGCATTCCCATCACCCCAAATTTCTCTCCTGCCAGCCTGGAAAGCACTGATCTCTTTTCTATCGCTAGTGCTGCACCTTTTCTAGAATTTCTTATAAATATGTAGCCTCTTACGTCCCATTTCATTCCCTTAGCCTAACGCTCTTGACAGCATCCAGGCTGTTTTTGTATCAACACCCTTCCCTCTGTGTCACTAAGCAGAAGCCCATTGTATGGAGACACTCTAATTCCTTTATGCCTTTGCTGGCGATGGACATTCAGGTTCTTCCCAGTCTTTGGTTTTTATGAATAGTATTGCTATTCATGTCTAAGTCTTTGTGTAGACATATGTTCTCATTTTTCTTGGATAAATACCTAGCAGTGAAATGGCTAGGTCGTATGGTGAGTGTATGTGTTACTTTATAAGAAACTGCCAAACTGTTCTCTCAAGTAAACGTACCACTTTGCATCCCACCAGCAACATATGAGAACGCTAATCGCACTACATCCTTGTCAACACTTGCTATTGTCAGTGTTTTCAATGTAGCGTGTAGTGGAATCTCGCGGTTTTATTTCTCTAACGAGTAGCGGTACTGAGAATCTGTTAGTCAGCTCTGAGTGCTATGATAAAATATCATAGACTGGCCAGCTTTTAAAAACAGACAGTTAGGACTTCCCTGGTGGTGCAGGGGATAAGAATCTGCCTGCCAGTGCAGGAGACACGGGTTCAATCCCCGGTCCGGGAGAATCCCACGTGCCACGGAGCAACTAAACCCGTGCACCGCACCACAACTTCTGAGCCCGGGAACCACAGCTGCTGAGCCTGCGTGTAGCAGCTGCTGACGCCTGTATGTCCCAGGACCCACGCTCCACGAGAGAAGTCAGTGTATCGAGAAGCCTGCACACCGCAAGGAGAGCGTAGCCCCTGCTTGCTGCAACGAGAGCAAGCCCACGCACAGCAACAAAGACCCAGAACAGCCAAAATAACTAACCAAATAAATAAACTTATTAAAAAAGAAAAACCAAAACGCAGACTTTTATTTATCACAGTTCTGACACCTGGGAAGTCCAGGATGGAGGGCTCCGCTGATTCGGTACCTGGTGAGGGCCCCTCTTCCTGGTTTGCAGACGGCCACCTTCTTGTTGCTGCGTCCTCATAGGGCAGAGACTGGTTTGATCTCTCTTCTAAGGATGCTAATCCCTTCACACGGCCCCACCCTCATCCTAATTACCTGTGAGTTGGGAGGGGAGGGGAGCGGGTGGATGGGGGTGGGGTGGAGGTAAGACTACCCTGAGACTATCTCACACTCAGACACCAGCTCCAAGGGCTTGTGGTGTCAGTCACTCCCCATACAGAGCACATCCTCCAAGCTGCACTCGATGGTCGGGCAAAGAGGGCCTGGCCCATGCCCGCCCCCTGCCCCAAAGCCAGCCCCTCCCCAGATCCAAGGCTGTCAAACGGTGACAACTTCAGACCGAGTGGGCTCCGTCCTTTACAGAGACTCGGAGCTGGGAGGGCAGGGGAGGAGCCCAGGGCCAGCCGGATCCAGCCCCCCAGCCCTGCCCCCCCGACCCTCACTCCCACCCGCAGAGCCTCCTCCAGGTTTGTTCCCATCCGCTGTCAGCTCCAGGAACCCCTGTTCCATCCTGCTATAGGGACTTCTGCTTCGAGAAACACAGGCAACAAGTGCTGAGTCTCCCTGGAGAGAGCGACGGGGCAGCTCCCTGGGGACAGACAGGGACCCCATCTGACCTGCTAACCAGCCACGAGGGCCTCTTCTCTGTGACTTTCGGGTGAAACTCACCATCGTGGCTGTGGGGTGGGCCTGGGCCTAGGCTCCTCCGGCAAGTAACTGAACTGACTTTCCCGAGGGCCTGGTTTTGGAGCCACGTGGGGCTCCGGCCTCTGGAGGGTGATCCTGGGACCGTCACCCCCACATGAGAGGCAGGTGGACAGCAATAGCTGAGTGTGGCAGGCGGGTCCCTGCCGTCGGGTCAGCACTGATGGCTGAGGGCCCCCCTACTCCAGGGTCAGCCCCTCAGCCCCCCTGAAGGTCAGTACTTCCGGGCCCCTTGCAGCTGCCTCGGCGGTGGCCCCCGGAGACCACCTCCTGAATCCCTCCCCCGCCTGCCCCGTGGGGAGGGAGCCTGCGTTGGGGCTCAGCTCGTATCCATGCATATTTAAGGGGGGACCTTCCCAGGGCACCGGCAGGCTCCCCACATCCCTCCCAGAGATCCATTTGTTAAAATAAACCAAGCGAGATCAGAGGTTAGCTCAGCAAGAAACCATGCCTAATTGGGTTCAAAGATATTCAGAAGGATGGAAACAGGAGACAGAGGCGGGGCGGGCATGCCACAGACTCACAGAACAAGATTGGGAGGCCCAGGGCTGGCTGGACCACAAGGAGCCCCTCCGCGGCCCAGGGCCCTCCAGCTGGGCCTGGCAGGCAGGCCGTGAGGATCAGCTGTGGGGGGCTGTGATGATTATTTTGGGGACCTCTGGGGCCCCCCGTCCAACTTGTCCTTCAGCTTGTGCTTGCGAAACAGGCTGTAGAGGATCCGCAGCGTGCTCTTGGCATCCTTGTTCACGATGTCTGAGGGTCGGGGGAGAGCAGGGCAGTGGTCAGACCCAGGAGGGGGAGACCAACCGTCCAAGTTTGCCCTGGACCGAGGGCTTTCCTGGGACACCAACCCTCAGGGCGAAACCTGGCAGAACTCCTGGCAAAGCAGGACAGTTGGTCAAGCAAGCCCTGAGTTCCAGGACCCATCACAGGGCACTGCCAATGCCTCCTCCCCGGCACCCTCTTGGGGGGCCCGCAACACAGCACCTTCTCCAGGCCTTGGCTCTCTGGACAGTCCATCCCCAGGGACCTTGGTCCCCCATCTCCTCTCCCTAGGACCGTCCTCCACCAGGGTGGGTGGGAGCCGTGGGCACGGTGCCCCCTCATAGGAACACTCGGCAAATACCAGGCAAGAGGCTGCACCCACACGCCGCCCTGCTCGGGGTCCCCGGCCCAAGGCTGCCTGCCCACGAGAGCCCTGCACTCACCTTCAGGGTTGACGGGGTAGCTGAGGAGGCCTTCTTCCTTCAGCAGCTCCAGGGCCAGGGTGACATTGTGCAGCTACAGTGACAAGACCCCATCAGTGTCAGCAAGATGATCCATCATGCAGCCAGGAGGCCGCCTCCAGGGGGAAAGGCAGTCCCCAAGGAAGGCACCTGGCCAGGCATCAGGGAAGGCTTCCTGGTGGAGGTGACACCTGGGAGTGAGTCCTGCCTGGTGAGGGGACTTAGCCAGGGGAGGAAGCATCCCATCTTTCCTGATGCAGCCCTGGAACCTGTGAGCAATTGAGACTCCCTCATAAAGAGCTTAGTTCTGTGGGTAAAGCAGAACTTAGTTCTGTGAGGAGACCAAGGCTCAGAGTGGCCACAGGCCCATGTGAACTCACAAGACAGAAAGTGCTGGAGTCAGGTCTGTCTCCCTCTGACGCCTGCAAAGCATCTGCGGCTGGAGGAGCCCTTCCCAGTCCCAAAGCCTGCTTCAACCAAGCCGGGCGGTTCCCATGGCAACCTAGCCAGGGGCCGGTAAGCAACGCCCACCCGAGGGTGCTGCCCCGCCTAGCCTGCTCCCAGTCCCCTCCTGGTGGGTCTGGGTAGATCTGAGTTGGACATCTGTGCACCAGCCCCCACCAGGTCACAGGTCACAGGTTGGACAAGGCACGTGTCCTGCCTGGGCCTTGTCCCCTCATCCATACAAGGGGAATAGCGCATCTCCCAGTGGCCTCTTCAAGCGGCCGTGTGGACCAGTGTGATGGTGGACCCAGAACTGGGACCTCGAGGCAAGATGTGAAGGTGGAATAATGAAGGCAGAGCTGGGGCCTCCCTGCACGTTTCAGCTGTCCCGGCTCCTACAAGGGCTGGGAAGTGGGCTGTGTGGGAGGCCAGGAGCCCCTGATAAAGACTCTCTCAGAGAGGGAGAGGGGCAGGCCACAGTCCTGGTCCAAGGACGCAGGGCAGGGGACGGGGGGAGCATCTTCAGCCCTCTCCAAGGACTCCCGCTGCATCCCAGGCAAGGGGCGCAGTCCTCCGTGGCATCTGGCTCCCCGGAGGCTGTGTGGGGACCACAGGGATCTGGGAGCAGAGTGAGCACGGTCCTTCTCCACAGGGGAGAGTTGAAGGAGCATCAGATGGACAGAGCCAGGACTTCCCTGATGGCACTGGCTAAGACCCCATGCTCCCAGTTCAGGGGGCAGGGGTTCAATCTCTGATCAGGGAACTAGACCCCACATGCCGCAACTAAGAGTTTGCATGCTGCAACTAAAGATTCTGCATGCTGCAGCTAAGACCTGTCACAACCTACACAAATAAATTATTTTTTAAAAATGGACAGAGTAGCAGAGCTGGGTCCAAGATGCAACGGAGAGGGTGGTGGTAGCTGGGTCACCGGCCCAGCAGGGCCCCTCTAGAGCCCATCAAGAAGAAGAGACCAAGGCTGTCGCGGGTGCCGATGTTCCCCAACAGGTAGGTCACACCTCTGGGGATGTGCAGACCAGAGGAAGCAAACCTCGGAGGGAGTGAATCGGCCTCCAGGGCCGTCCTGGCCCGTGTCCCCAGGTCTTGCCCCAGACTGGAGAATTCTGGAAAATGTGGGTTGCTACTGTTGCTACTCTTCTCATTCTCATCAGGAGCACCATTCAGAAGATGCACGGAAGGTAAATATCAGAGTGATGGCAGGACACAGGGCTGGGCTCTCCCGCCTCTCAGCCCAGCCTTTGATGTGCTCACCTCCAAGCCTGTGTCTCCACAGCGTGGTCCAAGGGGCAGAAGGGAAAAGGGGTCTGTGACCAAATGGCTTCAGGAAATGTTGGCTTCCATAAAGTTGTATGGAAATCCTCCACTGCAGGACTTCTCAGTGCCCTGAATGTGTTACAATGTATCCTGAGCTTTTGGGACTATGCATGTTTCCCCAAGTGATTTCACCACAGGATCCATTTGTCAGGGAGCAGCTCATGGGACCAGTTTCTCAGAAACACTTCATTCACTTACTTTAAATATTTATTGTCATTTGTTTATTTGTCTTAGTTGCAGCTCGTGGGATCTTAGATCTTCTTGCGGAATGCGGGTTCTTTCAGTTGCAGCCTGTATGACCTTTAGTTGCGGCAGGCAAACTCTTAGTTGTGGCATGTGAGATCTTAGCTCCCTGACGAGAGATCAAACCCAGGACCTCTACACTGGAAGCAGAGTCTTAGCCACCGATCCACCAGGGAAGTCCCTAACAATAATTATCGATCATCTGCTATGTGCTGGCCATGCAACTGGGGCAAAACCCAGATCCGCTGCCTGCCCTTGTGGAGTTCATGCTGAGTATCACCGCTGTCGACCCTAGAACAATGATTGCTCAAGCTTCTACGGGCCAACCAGGAGTAGCCTCAGGCCCCAGCCCCACCCCACCAGGCTATACCCAAAGCATTAGTTTTCTTGCATGCACAGTTTGAGATGATGAAAGGAAAACGACCATGTTCCACGGAGCTGAGAGAAGGTCACAACCCAGAAAGAAGCATTCAAATCGTTCGAGAGAGAAGTAATTTCACGTGGGAGGGAGCCAAAGGATCCTGGCCCCGGTGTTTTCATTTCTGCAAAGCCAACGATCGCCTCACTCCTCCAACCCTACTCCACTTCCAGCACCAAACGGCAACCTCACATGACACCACTGGCAGAGAAGGTCTGATAACAAGAAATTCAATTTCCAGAAGCCACAATTCCTGGGGTGTCCCACCTCCGGAAAGGGCCGTTGTTCCGCCCTTTCCAGTTAATGACCTCGTCGGCAATTTTGTTACCTATTCCTGCAGCTGAGGTTTCTTACAATAGCCCATAAAATTGCATTCTTGGGCCTGAGCTGAGAGGCTGCTTTTTTCCCCTCCAAAGAATGTGGCTCATCTTCAAAACTTGGTTCTGAAATCAGTGGAGTCAGCAGGCTGGCTACACGTGGGGGCCTTGGAAGGCAGGACATTTGTCCCCCGCTTGTAACTGGGGATTAGGAGGTGAGCAAAATACTGGGTGCTGGCCTTGACATCTGGTGAAGCCCCGACCCCCGAGTGACAAAGAGGGGACCCCTGTGCTCTTTTGGGTCCCGGTTCTGAGCCCCTGGTCCCATGGGGATCTGCATGTGACCCACCCCACGGGCTCCATCCTCTTAACCTTCCCTCACTGATCACACATGGGCATCCTGACTCCTGGATAAAAGTCAGCACCACGGTCTCAGCCTCACTCTGACCCACCTAAGCCCTTGTTCTGACCCTGCAACTCGGGGTGAGCCTCGTTCTTGGTCTTTAAAGGGATCACCCTGCCTCCGTCTCCCACGGGGCTCACCCTGGCTCCCCAGGAAGGACATGAGGCTATAGTTCCCACTTTTGTAGACAGATGAGCCTGGTAGCCATTCTAACCTCAACGCTATCTGGCTTACTTGCCCTGTCTGAAGTCAGTTTCCTTGGAGAGAAACAGGAATGGGAATAGTTCCTATTCAGAGGCCCAACGCAGGGAGGAATCGGCAAGGTCATCCATGCTGCCCGTGGGCAAGCACCTGCCTGGCTCCTGTCTCGTGTCCTCTCGGCCCCGTGCATGCAGGAGCCTCCGCACGGAGGCCACAGGGCCTTCTCTGGCCAAGAGGGTGAGAAGGAAGTGATAACACGCCAGGTCTGAGCCTGCACCCCATGTGTCCTGTTGCATCTCTGGGTCCCCTGCCATTGCCGTGAGAAAACCATGCCATGCTCACCGCTGGTCCCAGGAGGGGACACAGAGCTTGACGGCCCCAGTGACCCCCGCCTAGACGGCCTGACACCCAGCCCATGATGGAGCCTGGCCACGCCTGGAGCAGCCAAACCCAGATGACCTGCAGACCCACCAGAAGGAAGGATTGCAGTTTGCACTGAGTATTTGGGTTGTTTGTTGCACAGCATTTTGATAGCAATAGCTGACTAATACAGTGCCCAGTGAAGGGTAAGAACCCAGTAAGTGCCAACCACTGTTTCTACCACAGCTTCAAACACTGCACTGCTCCAGCCTGCTTGCTCTTCAGCCAATATCCCAGCTCTGGGGAATCTGAACCCCAAATCACTCTTCCAGTCAAGAGCACCCCTGCCTCCGGAGAGGGTGGGGATGACACCCACAAAGATGGCCAAAGGAAGAACATGGACTGAGGGTCAAGACGTCAGCCCCAGTTCCAGCTGAGCAGCCCTGGGCGCGTCCCACAGCTTCCGGGGCCTCAGTTTTCCCTTCTGTAAAATGGAAATACAACCCTGCCCTGCACCCCACCCCCCAGGGGCGTGGAGTGAGAGAGAAGCTGGGGTAAGGGGCCTGGTGAGGCCAGACTCACGTAGGAACTCCCCGCGAACACGAGAGGAGCCGTGGGCCAGGGGCCTAGAGGGGATGAGCCCAGGAGCTCAGAGGGGATGAGAAGGTGGTCAGAACCAACACCCAGCTGAGGGAGCCAGAGCAAAGCAGGTGGAGGGGGGGCTGGGGGTACACTGGAGATGGCAGAGGCCCAGGTGGCCCGCGGACCACAGGTGGGCAGTGAGGCTGTGGCCGGGAGGCAGGCGGGCTGGGGAGGCAGGCCTGGAACATTCGACAGGGACCCTGGTGGGGGAAAGGGGTCAGGCTAGCAGCCAGAAGCAGGGACAGACAGGGTTGCTGACACGTGGGAGCCAGACAGAAACCAAGCTTGAAACCGGGTCCGGGCCCAGGGCCCCCCTTCCACAACCGCCCAGGGAAGGCCTTGAGATCTGAGCCATCCTCAGGGCCACGGGGACATCAAAGGGGAGGGAAATCATTCCTTTTCCCAGAAACGCCCCAAGGCTGGCACTGGGAACTGGCACCCAGCCCTGCCTGGTGTCCCCTCTCTACAGAGGGAGGATGGGGTGGCCTCCTGCGCTGGGCTGCCTGCCACCCAACCAGCCAGAGGGACCCTGGTGTGGACAGAGTTCAGACAGGGCCATCTGGGGTCCTGGGCGGGATGAGGGGACAAGGGACCACATGCCCCTGGATGCTTCTACCTTCATGATGCTCCAAACTCTTCTCTGTTGTTTGTGTGGCCTGAGGGGCAGCAACCCACCCCAGTGTTCCTGCCGGGGGAACCCCATGGACCGAGGAGCCTGGCAGGCTGTTGCAGTCCATGGGGTCGCAAAGAGTCAGACGCATCTTAGCGACTGAGCACAAAGGCCAGCAGGGCAGGGACCGAGCCCATGTTAGCCAAGGAGCCTGAGGTGCCGGCAGTGAGCTGGTGGTGGATTGAGGACCAGAGCGGACGCTTTTCCTTCTTCTGCCAAGTCCGCCGGGACACAGAGCCCGGGACTGGAGTGAACTCTGCTCTGGGGGCCTCGGTTTCCTCCTGTGGAGACTCGTGGGCATCCCTTCCCTTCGCTAGCAGATGTCCTGCATAGAAAGGACATTCCCGGCAGGGGAACAGACTCTGCAAAAGCCCAGAGATGGGAGAGCTTGAGGAGCTCAAGGAACTGCAGAGGCTCCACGTGACAGGCCTGGGGGGTGGAGGAGGGAGGAGCCCCATGAGGGCCCAGATGCTGGGAGCAGTCAGACTGATGCCCTGTCCCTTCCACCAGCATCAGTCTCGCCATTGTCCTTCCCCAACCCAGGCATAGACACCCCCTCCCAACCCTGCCTGGACTAATGCAGCCATCTCCCAACCAGCCCCCAGACTCCAGGGTCCACGTGGGAACTTCTGACTCCCACGAGGCCAGAACCCCTGCCATCTCTGAACCTTTGACGATGCCATTCCCTCCCCTGGGGCTTCCCTCCCTAATTTAACTCTGCAAACCAAGCCCTTCAGTCAACTTCAGGGGCCACCTCTCATGCAAGGCCTCTCCTGATTCCTGCAGATCATACTAACTACATTTTCTTGCACTAAGGTTCCCCACCAGCCCACCCACCATGAGCCAACACATTTCACTGCAACCCCAGAAGACCATATATCACTAAGAGCACAGTGTTTATAGACTGAGGGGTCCTCGAAAGCAGGAGCTGTGTTGGATCATCTTTATGGCCCATAGGGTCTGACACAAAGCAGGACCTCAGAAAATGAGGGATCAGGTGCACGGGTGAATGGGTGGGTAGACGGGTAGATGAATGGATGATGGATGGATGGATGAGTGGATGGATGGATGGATGGATGGATGATGTGTGGATGGATGGGTGGATGGATGATGGATGGGTGGGCGGGTGGATAGATGATGGTAGATGGATGGATGAGTGGATGAATAGATGGATGGGTGGATCGATGGATGGGTGGTTGGATGATATGTGGATGGGTGAGTGATTGATGGATGAATGAATGAATAGATGGATGGATGGATGATGTGTGGATGGATGATAGATGGATGGGTAGATGGATGATGATGGGTGGGCGGGTGGATGGATGATGGATGGATGGAAGGATGAATAGATGAATGGGCAGGTGGATGGATGGGTGGGTAGGTGGATGGATGGTGGATGGATGGATGAGTGGGTGGGTGGATGGATGATGATGGGTGGGCAGGTGGATGGATGATGGTAGGTGGATGGATGAGTGGATGAATGGATGGATGGGTAGATGGATGATGTGTGGATGGATGATGTGTGGATGGATGATGGATGGATGGAAGGATGGATAGATGAATGGGCAGGTGGATGGATGGGTGGGTGGGTGGGTGGATGGATGGGTGGATGGATGATGTATGGATGGATGATAGATGGATGGGTGGATGGATGGATGGATGAGTGGCTGGCTGGATGGATGGGTGGATGGATGATGTATGGATGGATAGATGAACTGTGTGGACAAGTGAATCAGCAAGTCAATGGATAGGTGTAAGAGTCTGTATGTGAGATTGGTGGGTGAATGGGCAGACATATGGACAACCAAAGTTTCCTTCAGCCTTTATTTCACCTGTAAGTGAATGAATGAAGACTGATCATGCCAGTTTCCTAGATCTGTGTATTCAGAGGTAGAACTGGAAAGGAGAAATCTTTGCAAAATCTTACCATTTCCGCAGGAGAGCTGGGAGTGAGATAGAATTCCTTCAAGTGCAGGAAGAAGCCTTCCAGCTGTCCAATCAGCAAGAGTAAGATGACGCCATCTGCAAACTGCAAAGTAGGGAACTGAAGACAGATCACCTAGAGGATCCCACTCTGCCTGTTACAGGCTGTATGACGATAAAGGTCACACAACCTCTCTGAGCAATATTTCTTGAGAAATAGGGATGACATCCTTGACCTTGCGGTGTTGTTGTAAACAGCCACAGGTATAAAGCAGTTATTGGCTGTCTAACACAGAGCACATGCTTGATAAAACGAGCCATTTTTACCTTTTCTGTGAAAGAGCCTCAAATCATTTTTTAAACCACATACTGTTCCATGAGCTACAGAGGCTCAGGAGAAAACAGAGTTAAGTGTAAATTTATTCCATCAGGAGAAGGCAGAGAACAGCACACCGGGCTCATTTTGCTGGCTGTTACGTTCGTATTTGTTCTGTCTGTATGTTCAGAGATAAAGCCATCACCCCAGCATCAGTGCATCATATGCTAATATAATCCTATTCAATCTCTTCAAAGACACAAAACACAAGATTGAATATTGGAAGTAAGTCACGGCTAGAAGTCCTTAATGAAATTGCCTCGTAATAGGTCTGTTTCCATGCTGTTATTTTGACCCCAAATCTTGCCTACTGATGTTCCCGGTAATACCACCGAAATACCAGGGACTTTAATATCCCCCTTTATGCAACAGTCTCTAAATACCATTCTCACATGTGCCATTTATTCTTCAAACACCTTTATTTTACCAAGTGAGACATAAAGATGAAACAGGTAGAATGTAAACCAAGGCATCATCCTATTCATACCCACATAAAATACAATAAAACCACAACTTTTTATTGTGTGTCTGCAGTGTGTCAGTGAAGTGAAAGTCGCTCAGTCGTGTCTGACTCTTTGTGACCCCATGGACTGTACAGTCCATGGAATTCTCCAGGCCAGGATACTGGAGTGGGGAGCCTTTCCCTTCTCCAGGGGATCTTCCCAACCCAAGGATCGAACCCAGGTCTCCCGCATTGCAGACAGATTCTTTACCAGCTGAGCCACAAGGGAAGCCCAAGAATGCTGGAGTGGGGAGCCTAACCCTTCTCCAGCAGATCTTCCTGACCCAGTGATGGAACCCAGGTCTCCCGCCTTGCAGGTGGATTCTTTACCAAATGCCAGGTAATACACAAAATGCCCGATGTTCACCATCTCACTTATTACTCATGGCTCTGTGAGATAGGGATCCTTGTACCCATTTTAAAAGAAGAGGAGCCTGAGGTTCAGAGAAGTCCGGGTCCAAGGTCACAAGCTAAGGGAGAGGAGGTGTCCTCAAGCCTGGGGGCAACGTGTGCCCGCCTGGCTTCAGAGTCTGCCACCTCCACCCTGCTGTGTCACCAGACCACGTCACACACAGGCTTCTCACGAGGCCACCACGCAAGGTGGTGATGGCGCACAAACCCTGGCCTCAGCAGCCTGGGTTCCCGTCCCAGGTCTACCACTTAGTCGGGCTTCCCAGGTGGCGCTAGGGGTAAACAACCCAGCTGCCAAGGCAGGAGACATAAGAGACGGGTTCGATCCTGGGTCGGGAAGATCCCTTGGAGAAGGCAATGGCAACCCACTCCAGTACTCTTGCCTGGAGAATCGCATGGACCAAGGAGCCTGGCAGGCTACAGTCCATGGGATCACATAGAGTCGGACACGACTGAGTGACAAGCACCACTTAATCACTGTGTGACCTTGGGCAAGTTCATTAACCTCTCTGAGCTTAATGTGCTTATCTGTAAAATGGGATAGTAGCAGTTCCCACCTAAGGAGGTCGTTGAGAGGAGTCTGAGCTGACGTATGCAAAGGGCTTTGCTCAGAGCTGGGCACAGGGTAAGGGCTTCATCGGATTTAGCTCCAGGCACTGGACGATATCAACGCTGTTCCCCACAAGCTAACGACAGGCCGTGTCTGAGACATCAGCAGCACTGGCTAAGCTCACCGTAAGCCACTTGGTGACCTCGCCACGGTCCCCCCAGACCATGTTGTGTAAACAGAAGCCAGGGGGCCCGAATCCTGCCCCAGCACGTCCAGTTAATGCCCCCGGGGCCCAGCAGGCTCCACTGCTGCCCTGAGGGCCTGGGCTGGCCATCGGCTTCTCTGCCCCCCACTGCATGAAGGGAAATCAGGGGCATAGCGTTCTGGTGGGAGGCCATGGTCCACCACAGGAGGCTGACAGCTCATGACTCTATTCCTGCCCCGGGACAGTTCAGCGTCGTCAGCACCGGGGACCAGGAGACTCGGGGAGCCCTCAGATACAGGGCTGTGTCAAAACCTACAACCCCACCAGACACACGTGTGTGCGTGCTAGGTCTCTTCAGTCATGTCCGACTCTTTGGGATTCCATAGACTGAAGCCCGCCAGGCTCCTCTGTCCATGGAATTTTCCAGGCAAGAGTACTGGAGTGGGTTGCCATGCCCTCCTGCAGGGGATCTTCCCAACCCAGGGATCGAACCCAGATCTCCTATATCTCCTGCACTTGCTGGCAGGTTCTTAACCACTAGCGCCACCAGGGAAGCCAATGCAATTAGACAGGGAACGCTCGTGTGTTTTGAGTCATAGCATCAGATCGTCCAAGATAGTTCTGGGGAAAACGAGCTGCAAGGCGGTTGTTTTACAATGAAAGTGATTAACAGCACAGACAAACCCCGAGGTCCTCACTTCACAGGACCATTGTCCTGCCCCTGACTGGCGATGCTGCCTCCATGCAACACCCCCATTGGAGAGGAGGACCCCAGGTGTCCGGGAGGCGACACACCCTGGGTCACACAAGGTGGGCCAGGCTCCCGGGTGGGCCCTGCAGAACCCTCTCCCCGTGGCCCTTCCCGACCCCGGACCCCGCAGCCGCGTCCCTACCTGAGTGTCTAGATTCTGCACGGACAGGCCCAGGCGGTCCAGCTCCTGGTTGACGAACTTCACGATGGCCTGTTCAGGGAAGAACCGAGGCCCCAGGCCCGCAGCTCAGGTTCGCGACCTTCACACTCGGGGTCACAGAAAGCCCCCCCACCACCACTGCATGGCAACCGGCACAGCAGCTGCAGAGTGAGGGCCAGAGGGCCGTATTCCTCCCCCTTTGCCCTACCCTCTCCCCCAGACCCAGGGCAGGTGGGCAGCGGGTGGGCGGGCGGCAGGAGGCACTCTCGGAACTTTGATCTCTACCTCTTTGACAGCGTTCACCTTCTCTGGAGCCAGCTTAAATAATTCATCAAAGACGTCCTCTGCAGACAGATCCAATAAACACCTCATTAGGATGCTATTATCTTTGTGCCAAACAGGGACTTCTTTTCCACCAAAGTTTCTCAGAAGAATCAGTCCAGAGAGAGATGTAGTTTTATCCCAAGTAGATAAGTAAGTGTTAGTTGCTCAGTCATGTCTGACTTTGTGACCCCATGGACTGTAGCCCACCAGGCTCCTCTGACCATGGTGATTTTCCAGGCAAGAAAACTGGAGTGGGTATCCATTCCCTTCTCCAGGGCGTCTTCCCGACCCAGGGATCGAACCTGCGTCTCCCACATTGCAGGCGGCCTCTTTACTGTCTGAGCCGTGGGCACTCTCGCGAGGTTCCCGAATGGTCACCAGGTTCCTGAATTGAAGAACAGGCCTGGATGGGAGTCATTGTTCCCTGGCTGTGCAACCTGGCAGGAATTATCTGCCTTCTCTGTGCCTGAGGTTCCTCATCTGTAAAGTACGGCTGATAATACCTACTAGGCGGGGTCTTTGCAAATATCAAATCTGGGAGGAGATAACACACGTGTCACGGTGGCTGGGCACCTGTGCATGCATGCTACGTCGCTTCAGTCGTGCCCGATTCTGCGACCCCATGGAATGTAACCCGCCAGGCTCCTCTGTCCATGGGATTCTCCAGGCATGAATACTGGAGTGGGTTGCCATGCCCTCCTCCAGGGGATCTTCCAACCCAGGGATCACACCTGTGTCTCTTATGTCTCCTGCATTGGCAGGCGGGTTCTTTAGCACTAGCGCCACTTGGGGAGCCCAGCTGGGCCCACAATAGGACTTAAATAACAGTCACTGTTTCTAGAGTAGACACCACTCCAGCCCCTGGGAACTCGCCCTGGCTCCCCGCAGTTCCCTGCTCCGCCCAGCAGTCCATAGGAGCTGCCATAGGTGGCTGAAGGGGGGTCGGCCCCGGACTGACTCCTGGCCCAGAGGCCTCCTCCCCAGCGTGTGTGGATTGGCAGAATTAGGACATCCAGCCCTTGCAGAGAGGCTGAACTCCCCGTGGGGCACAGAAGGCCAGCACCCTCAGCAGCTGAGTCAGGCCCATGGGAGCATCTTAGCAGCTCAGGCCCCTGGTCCAGACTCAGAGGCGCCAAGTCCTCAGACTAAGGTCCTTTTCCCACCAACTGCGTTCCTGCTCTTTGCAGCTAACACGCCTCCCCTGGGGAGACCGGTCCTCAAGGCACTGAATACCCACACTGAATAGAATTTACCTCTTGATTCTGCAGCCGGCTATTGTGTGACTCTGAACAAGTCACTTCACCTCTCCCCGCCTCGGTTCCCTCATTAGTGAAGGGAGGGAAGTGGCACCAGACCGCACTCTGCAGGTTAACATGCCCCATAAACCGACAAACAGGGTGGAAATACCACAGGTCCCTCCCAGAGCGCTTGGCCTATGGTCAGTGACACTGTGTCCCTGAAAGAGCCACTCCGATGACCCAGGCCAGAACACCACGGACACGCTAGACACGGTGTTAGGAAGCCCTGCTCCGTGTCCCTGCCCCTCATTGGGTGACCCAGCCTCATGCAGCCCTCTAACAAACACTGCTCCCTGGGAGACCCCAGGTCCTCAGGCTGCCCCTCCACATGCCCACACACAGACATCTCGCCGGACTGGCCTTCCTGGCACCTCCCTTCTCCCACTCAACCTTTCTCAGTCCTTGCTCTCAGAAGCCCCTCACAGGTCATAGTGCCTCCTCCGCAGGTGAGAACCCCCTGCCTATACAGCTCTGTTCCAAGCGGGGAAGGCTCGGGGAGGAAAAATCACATTAAGATGGATGGACGGATAGATGAATGGATGGGTGAATAGATGAGTGAATGGATGGTTGGATGAATGGATGGATGGATGGATGGGTGGATGGATGGATGCATAGATGGATGGATGGATGATGAACGGATGGGTTGGTGGATAGATGAATGAATGGGTGAATAGATGGATGATGGATGGGTGAATAGATGACTGAATGGATGTTTGGATGAATGGATGGATAGATGGATGCATAGATGGATGGATGCATAGATGGATGACCAATTGCCAACTGGCCAGGCAGACTGACTAAGGAATAAATGAATGAAAGAAGGAATGGCTGGGTCAATCAGTCAATTGGTGAAGAATTCTGCCTCAAAAACAGAGGCCAAAGTAGTGAAAAATCACTATTAAGCACTTTCTCTGTGCTAAGCACGTTCACAAAGAACCTTTTAACTCCAGCCACCAGCCTAAGAGGTGGGTACCGTTATTAACCCCATTTTATAGATGAGGAAACTGAGGTACAGACAAGTTCAGTCACTCACCCAAGTTCACGTGGCTAATAAATGGGGGAATTGGCGTTTGAACCCAGGTTGCCTGGCCCCAGAGCCCACACACTGAACAACTCCACAGCTGCCACCACCGATGGGAATTAAAAATCTCTCTACCTATATGAGCAGTACTGTGAGAAGGAACAGCCAAATCCACGGGCAGACAGACAGAAGGGAGGACAAAAAGATAAGAGGGCTCAAAATACACATGCACACGTGCTAAGTCGCTTCCGTCGTGTCCAACTCTTTGTGACCTGATGGACTGTAGCCCACAGGCTCCTCTGTCCATTGGGATTCTTCAGGCTGAATACTGGAGTGAGTTGCCACACCCTCCTCCAGGGGACCTTCCTGACCCAGAGATTGAACCTTCATCTCTTACGTCGTGGACCACAAAGGAACTGCGAGCACACCCAGTAATCAACCAGTCACAATGCCATGTCTATCTCAGCACATACCCAACAGAAAAAGATTTCCCTAAATTAGGAAGGTACTCACTTGATGGTTGGTCCTTGTCTGTGCTAAAGAGGAAAATGTAGGGGGTGGGGGTGGAGAGAAAGCAAACACACGGTTAAAAAAAACAACAACAACTTCAGAGATGTAGTGTCTTCATGTGACAAGACCTGGCAGAGGCAAGGCTGACAGAGAAACTTGCGAGCTCCCTTTTCCTGGCAGTTCCATAAACAGGCAGGGCCCTCGTGGGAAGCAAATGGCAGAGGTCCAAACCTCCCCCTGAGGCTCCCACACCTAGAAATGCCTGGATTGTGTCATTTTTGTGGTTGCTGTTTTAGCTATGCTATGATTGCTAAGTCGCTTCAGTCGTGTCCGACTCTTTGCGACCCCATGGACTGTAGCCCGCCAGGCTCCTCTGTCCGTGGGGATTCTCCAGGCAAGAATCCTGGAGTGGGTTGCCATGCCCTTCCCCAGGGGATCTTCGCTACCCAGGGATCGAACCTGAGTCTCCTGCATTGGCAGGCTTGTTCTTTACCACTAGCGCCACCTGGGAAGCTGTTTTAGTTGTGGTGGGGGCGTATTTACACAACACGATACACATGTCCAAATCCTCACTTGAGAGCCGGTGCGTGTTTACCGACGCACATCCCTGTGTCACCACCCCCAACACGGCAGAACCTTCTAGCACCCCGAGCTGTTCCCCCCCTCCCCATCACACCCCATAAAGGTCACTACTGCTCAGAGGTGCCTGGCTGTCTTCGTTTGGTCTGTTTGTGTTTGAAATGAAATCGTACGCACTCCCTCACGTCCGGCTTCTTTCACTGCCTTTTTATTGTCATTGAGCGGTTTTGCCTGGACTTTGTTGTTAAGTGTCCCCCCCCCACGCCCTGAAAGCTCGGTTCTGCCCGCCTCGCCACCCCCCTCCCCCGCCTCCCAGGTAGGTTGGGCTCTCCCAGGAGAGCCAGGTGGTCCCTCCGACCGCCCATGCCCCTGGCAGGAAGCTGGGCCGGGTGGGATGGAGGAAGCCGCCTGAGACGAAGGCCCAGGGCTCCACACGGAGGCAGCTGCCAGGAGGGGGGCACACGGCCCTGTGCCGCCTGGGACACAGGCCCAGGGCCGGGGCGGGCCCTCACCGAAGCCTCCGAGCTCGCGGAGGCCGAGAAGGGCTGTTTCAGGGCTGCAAAGGGAGGAGGGGTGTGGCCACCATGACCACTGCTAACTGCGCCCTCTCTCTCAAGTTCCCCAAAGTCGTTCTCAGAGCCTAAAGCTTCGGCATACAAGGGTCAAGATGGACGGTGGGGAGGGCATCTAGCCTCACCGAGTGGCAGGGGAACAGGTCTTCTTCCTGGGGTGTCACTGGGAAGGCCGACACGCCCGGCCCCACTGGCAGGAGGGGCCAACAGACGTCTGCTCCCTCCGCCCTGGGCATCCTTGGCCCACACGCCTCCACCAAGATATTACCTGCCATCAGCTAGCCCGTCCCCCTAGTCTGGTCCCAGTGAACACCCAGGAGACGTAGACCCGGCAGGACCTCAGGGCTGGGGGCACAAAAGAGGGGAAGGTCCCCTTACGTGCATCACCTGTGACCCTCACAACAGCCCCAACAAGTAGGAAAAGGGGGATCCCCCTTTATCAAAGGCATGAAGAAGCTCAGAGAGGGGGAGTGACTTGCCCAAGGACACACAGCTCATACCAGGCTGAGCTGGGATCTCAGCCCAGACAGGGCAGTCTGTGAGCAGGAGAGAACTGAACTTGCCCAGCTGGGCCTCTGAGAGTTAAATGGGTCAAGGGAGCTGAAACAGCCCAGTGCCCTGCACACAGTAGGCCTTCAGGAAGGGTTAGACAAGAAAGGAGACTCCACAGCTTTCCTGCAAGGAACCCACTCTCAGGCCAACCCAGAAAGACCTTTGGACCAGATGGGGTGGGCGGTGAAATGGGGAAGCCAGGCAGCATGTGGCAGGGTCTGGGGAAATACAGGCCTGCAGGTGGAGCCGGGCCCCTCTGCAGCTCTGGCAGCTTTGCGAGGATGAGAAACATTGTGCCTGGACCAGGCGAAGATTCTACAATTCACGGAACAGAACCTGCAGCTCAAACCCAGGGGCCTGCTGCAGGGCCAGCCCCCAACCCCTCCCACCCCTCGAACCTGGGCGGGTGTCCCAAAGTGTGAGCCCACGGGTGGCAGGGGGACCTTTGGCTGAGGTCAGTTACAATCTCCACCACAGGGGAGTCCAGGAATGCAAAATAGCCAGGTCTCCCTGGAGAGAGACGCAACTGGGAGGTGTTGGAGGGCCTACGGGGGAGAGGCTCATGGTATATGCATGGCTTCCTTTACCACCCAGGCTGTTGGGAGTTTTGGCCACAGGCCAGCTGGCCCCGCGCCCCTGAGACCCCTCTAAAGGCTCACCCAGCCTGCAGCTCAGAGACGCCTAACAGCAGCCCCTCTTCTCCCCAGACCCCAGACCCTGCGGTTGTCTTGTTGCAGAGCCCAGGTGCATGGCCCTGACCCTGATGTGTTTCCAACCCTGGCATGAAGCACGTGCAGTGCAGGTGAGTGTAGGCAGCTCTGCCGGCCAGGACCCCACGGGCCGGGCAGCGCTTAGTAGGGCCGGCAGAGTGAGGGCCCCGCCCAAGAAGGTCAGAGGCCTGCCCCTGCCCCAGGGCCCACTGCCCATTCCTGAGAAAGCCCAGCGCCCCCACCCTGCCTCACCCGCACTCGGTCAGTTGCTCCACCGACTTTTCCGACTTCAGGCCGCTCTTGGTGTGCTAGGAGAGAGAACGGGGGACGGGATGGAGTGTCCACAGAAAATTCTAGGGCCCATGACTGCCTCTAGAGGAGACTGGAGGGCCCAAAGCTGCCCCAAGGGACCCAGTTCACCCTGCCTCATCCACTCCTCAAGGAAGCCTCCCTCCTTGGCAGCCCTTGTGGGACCAGGTTAATTGTCCTTCTTCCCATGGGCCCTGAGCCCCACAAAGACGGGGAGCGTGTCTGCTTCGGTGCCCAGGTATCCCCAAAGTCCACTCAGTGCCTGGCTCACAGGGCGTCGACGGACATGTGTTTACCTGATAACAAATAAGTGACTGGGTGGGCGAATAAATGAGTGGGTGGGTGAATGAATGGGTGAATGGGAAGGTTAATGAATGAGTGGGGGGGATGAGTGGCTAAATGAATGGATGAGTAGGTGGATGGATGAATGGATGAGTGGGTGGGTGAGTGGATGAATGAATGGATGAGTGGGTGGGTAAATAAATGGATGAGTGGGTGGGTGGAGGAGTGGGTGGGTGAGTGGATAAATGAATGGATGAGTGGGTAGGTGAATAAATGGTTGAGTGGGTAGATGAATGAATGGATGAGTGGGTGGGTGGATGAATGGATGGGTGGATGAATGGGGAGGTGAATGAATGAATAAGTGAATGCATGAAGGAATGAAGTCACCTCTGATTTATATATAGCCATAGAATTCGCCAGTCATTTTGAAAAAGTCGGGATGAATCCTCCCGAGTTTGGCTGGACTCGGTGTATTCTGCCTCCTGGGATAAGGGAAGCTGGCTGCTCCCCAGGTGCCCAGGAGGTCGGGGAGGGAAGCGTGGGGGGCACGCACAGGGGGCCCTGTTGGTGGTACTTAGGGTCTGTCTGAGAGAGAAGGCACAGACTCCTGGGCCACCAGCTATAGCACAAGTCCACACGTGCTGGAGAGGGAGCACTCAGTAGGTGCTGGAACCGAAAAGGTCGCTGGGGCCCCTCTCACACCCATGCACTGGGAGACGGGACCGTCACAGTGGGAGGGCAGTGGCGGTGGCCAGGGGTGTGAAGGCTCCAGAAGGGCCGTGAACCGATGGTCACTTACGGCGCATGTGGTTGCCATCAGCCAGGACCTCCAGGACACCCCAGGCAGGTGTCATCTGCTGCATAAGTGGGGCTGGCCAGTACACAGGCCTCCTTGTGGCCCCCCCCGGACTCTGCATCTCCTGCCCACAGCTCTGGCCCAGCTTCCCCCGCCATCCTGGTGGGATCTGGTATTTCTCCCGACTCCCTGGTCACCCTGGTTCAGCCCCCGCCCTGTGCAGTACCCACCCCCTGGTCCAGAGTGTGGCAACATGGCCCCAACACGCTCGACCTGCAGGCGGGCATCCTCCGGGGCCCGCCCCTTACCTCCATGGTGATCACCTCCACCTGCACGTTGGTCGGGAGGGGCAGGTCGGGCTGGAAGCGCTTGGCCAGGGCCACGAGGAGATGCAGGGTGGCCAGCAGGTCCTTGCTGAAGATACCTGGGAGGGAAGGGGGCATGAGGTCAGAGCTCCCGGGATACCCAAACCTGGGGCTACGTGGTGGGGTCCTGATTGTCAAAACCACCCTTTGTAGCACAAGGAGCTCGGTGTCCAGTCATCAGGGGAGCAGAGGTCTGGAAATCTACATTCAGAACCTAAAAATAGTCTCACTTTGCTCCAGTCATCCTTTCTGCAAATACAGCCCAAGGGCACGAGCCATGTGTGGATGGGACTTTCACACACAAATGTTCACTGCGGCGCTGTTTAAACGACTAAATGTCCTACGGCAGGGCCCTGGTTGAACAAATTGTTAGATCTGAGCTGAATGTGACCTGATTTAGGGGCTTTCCTGGCAACTCAGACGGTAAAGAATCCACCTGTCATTCAGGAAACCTGGGTTTGATCCCTGAGTCAGGAAGATCCCCTGGAGAAGGGAATGGCAACTCACGTCAGTATTCTTTCCTGGAGAATTCCATGAACAGAGGGACCTGGTGGGCCTGACGACCTGATTTGGAGCCAATATTACCCGCATCAATTATTGAATGTGAGAATTGAAACGCAGTGGCGAGAATAACGACAGAGGCCTAACAAAAACTGTGTGACACGAAACTATATTCAACGCCCTGTGATGATGGAGAGGAGTCTTTAAAGAGAATACACACATGTGTGTAACTGGAAAAGAGTCTTTAAAGAGAATACACACATGTGTGTGACTGAATGACTTTCCTGTACAGCAGAAATTAACACAATGCTATAGCCAACCATACTTTAAAAAAAAAGAAAAAAAGGGGGGCTTGAAAACTGTTACCACCTCACCTTTTCATACTGTTTCATACATCTACTTCTGCTTTATCGACTACGCCAAAGCCTCTGACTGTGTGGATCACAACAAACTGTGGGAAATTCTTAAAGAGATGGGAATGCCAGACCACCTGACCTGCAACAGTTAGAACTGGACATGGAACAACAGACTGGTTTAAAATTGGGAAAAGAGTACATCAAGGCTGTATATTGTCACCCTGCTTATTTAACCTATATGCTGAGTACATCATGAGAAACACTGGGCTGGATGAAGCACAAGCTGGAATCAGATTGCTGGGAGAAATATCGATAACCACAGATGACACCACCTTTATGGCAGAAAGCAAAGAACTAAAGAACGTCTTGACAAAAGTGAAAGAGGAGAGTGAAAAGTTGGCTTAAAACTCAACTCAAAACTAAGATCATGGTATCTGGTCCCATCACTTCATGGCAAATAGATGGGGAAACAGTGGAAATAGTGACAGACTTTATTTTTGGGGGCTCCAAAATCACTACAGATGGTGACTTCAGTCATGAAATTAAAAGATGCTTGCTCCTTGGAAGAAAAGTTATGACTAACCTAGACAGCATATTAAAAAGCAGAGACATTACGTTGCCAACAAAGGGCCATCTTGTCAAGGCTATGGTTTTTCCAGTAGTCATGTATGGATGTAAGAGTTGGACCATAAAGAAAGCTGAGCGCCGAAGTATTGATGCTTTTGAACTGTGGTATCAGAGAAGACTCTTGAGAGTCCCTTAGACAGCAAGGAGATCCAACCAGTCCATCCTAAAGGAAATCAGTCCTGAATATTCAATGGAAGGACTGATGCTGAAGCTGAAACTCCAATACTTTGACCACCTGATGCAAAGAACTGACTCACTGGAAAAGACGCTGATGCTGGGAGGGATTGGGGGCAGGAAGAGAAGGGGACGACAGAGGATGAGATGGTTGTATGGCATCACTGACTCGAGGGACATGAGTTTGAGTAAACTCTGGGAGTTGGTGATGGACAGGGCGGCCGGGCGTGCTGCAGTCCACGGGGTCGCAAAGAGTCGGACATGACTCAGTGACTGAACTGAACTGACCACCTCACCACCCAGCCTTGGAGAGGCTATTTCAATTCCTTCCAGTCTCAGTTTTCTCATCTGGAAAAAGGGCAGGATGTAGAGGTTGGAATGGCAGGAAATCCTACCAAGTGGCTAACTGGGTGGGACTTTGCACACTCATTTCTTACAAGCAGGTACTGCAGCTGCAACTTAGATAAGTTAATGAAGCGGGTAGTTAGCACCCATCCGACAAGGCAGTTGAGCTCGTGTGTGGTGCTTGGGACTTGGGGAGCTGTGGCAGCCTTATGGACAAGGCTGCCTTTATCACCCTTGTGGTGGGCTCCGAGGCAGCCCCACCCACCCTGGGTAAGGGCGCTGTAATTCTGTCTCCTTGCCTGCCCGCTCCCAGGCCTCTCCACACCAGCCCCACGCACTCTCCACACTCCACTTGGCCTGCAGCTCCTCCACCTGCAGGCTCTGGTCCACAGACTCCAGGACCGCTGTGAGCTTGCGCCTCTGGCTGGCTGCGGTCAAGGCAATCTCCTCCACGTCAAGCTTGAGTCCGCTCAGCTTCTCTGAGGACCAGAGAAAGAGGAGTGGGATGGAGGGGAAGGGTGGGAAGGACTAGGGGATGGCAGACAGATGTGGCTCCTGCCAGGGGACCCACAGCCAGTCCTCTTCCTCCAGGCAGTCACGGGGCATGGTGGCTGCGGGGCTTCCAGAGACGCCCCCGGCCCACCCCACCCTGACCGAGACCCTGTGCCCCACCCCCTTAGCTTCCCACACAGTGACCTGCGGTCCTCATCCCTGCAGGGCAGTGAGGTCTAGTGGTTACACTCAGTTTCCTCATCTGTAAAATGGGGATGATCACAGAGCGGCTGTGCTGAGGATTAACAGCATCTGCTCTGTGGCAAGAGCTCAGGAAGCCGTGACTGGTGGGCCTGTCCTGCAGCCGTCTGCCAAGAGCTCTGCAGAGGGGGCCAAGTGAGCCCCAGGCTGGCCCACCCTGCCCCCCTCCCAGGACTTCCCAGGGCTGGAAGCAGCAACTTACGGAAAAGGTGGTGCAGGATGAGCCCGTCGAAAATGTCCTCCTCCAGGCTGCGGACCACGATGTGCTCCGGGAGGAGCTCAGTGTTGATCCAGTCCATCAGCACCTGCTGCCCCGAGACGCAGCTGACGGGGGGGCCACTCCCCACCCGGCCTCTCGCCGGGTTCAGCTCTGCCCTCCTCCCACCAGTCAACTCTGACTCATCCTTCAAGGCCAGGTCAAACATCACCTCCTCTAGGAAGCCTGCTCTGATCTCCCAGGCTATTAGGGGCCTGCTCTGGGCTCTGGTGGACCTGAGCACTGCGGGGTTTTTTTTTTTTTTTTTTCTCCTGCATAAGGTTTTGATAATACAGGGGCACTGGTGTCCTGCCTCCTCCTTCAAACTACAGCAAAGCACGAAGGCTGTCCCTGGAGGTCAGAAGTGCAGAGAAGCAGAGCCCCTGTCCCTTTAAGGGACCAACCTGAGCTACCCAGGACTTTGTGGATAAACACCTTACTTCCTCTGTCCCAGCAGGTAGCCTGCAAGGTACCCGCTCTTCCACAGGGGCCCCCAGTAGCACCCAGCAGGCTCAAGTTCCATCATTCACCTTGGGTGGCTCCTTCTTACCCATCTTATTTCCCCTCTCCCCTGCCTTGTCTCCTGGGATGACCTCCCAACTCACTATTTTCACTTGAATCCTTAGTTCAGGATCAGCTTCTGGAGGGACCCACGTCGGCACCCCACCAGTTTCCCTCTGCCTGAGAGAGGGGAACGTGGAGGGAGGGATCGAGAGAATGGGAGGGAGGAAGAAAGGGATAGAAAATGGGCCAGAAATCCTCTGGGTGGGCGGTCAGAGGTGGTGGAGTCCAGGAGGTCTCCTTGGAGGAGGTGACAGAAAGGCCCCACGGAGACTAGAGAAATACCGCAGAGGAAAATGGAGACCCCAGGCCTCTGCACAGCCTACAGTCAAGAAGAACTGGGTGGTGCACGTGTTCCCACCCACTCGGTCAGCCGTCCATTGCCCAGGCAAGCTGAGCCAGAGAAGGAGCACAAGATTTGGGCTCCGTGATCTGGGTCCAACCCTAGCTCTGTCACTGGCCACCGTGTGTTCCCCATGGGTCAGGTCACTTCTCCGAGCCTTGCTGTCTGCTCCCTGGGATGCAGGTGACAGCACACCTCTCTCAACTGCCATGAGCCTTGCTGGGATCCCGTACAGAAAGGCACACAGTCAGCGCTCAATAGATATCCTTTCGTGCAGGTAAATATCCTTCCACTCAGCAGGTCTCCCAGGAGTCTGAGGGACTGCCGCCCACCAGCTTGAGGCTGGGGAGGGGATGGCCCACGGTCCCCACCCCAAGAAGATTAAGACTCCTCCAGAGAAAGATGGTCAGAGAAGGTTGCCGCACCTTTTGCAATTCTTCAAATTTGGGGTTATTCCGGGAAGTGGGGGGCAGGAATTTCCTCTTCTCTCCTGGAAACAGAGGGGAGCATGACACGTGGATGGCGGCCTGCAGGTCGGCCCTGGAGCCAGCATCTCGACCACGAGGGGAGATTGGTCCTACAGCTTCACATGCACATACACACATACAGACACATGTGCATAAGGGCAATGAAACACACAAACACACATGCTCACAAGTGCATTCACACACACACATAGATACACATTCACACACATGTACACATGCCATCACACACACACACACACGCCCTGACCACCAAACATCCCCAGAGACCTGGGTTTCCCAGACATGCCTCGTCCTCTGCACCCACTTCCTTCGTCCATGTGGTTCCTGCCTCCCCCTCACACTCTTCCCCCTCACTTCTCTCATGAACACCAGCCCGTCTTCAGACACACAGTATTTACATTTGGGGAACATACTTAAACTCGAAAACTATTTTTTGTCTACCTGAAATTCACATTTAACTGGACATCCTGCATTTTATCTGACCCTCTTTCCACGTACATAAGAAGGGGTCACAGCCCAGTTAAGCCCAGGTCCCCGGGCTCCAAGGGGTCGAGGCAGAGTTCATCCATGACTGTCAGGCTCCCTGGTGTGGGCAGGGCATTGAGGGCACCTGGCTTGTCCACTGAGCTCCAAGACCTGGGTTAGCATCTCCCCTAAGTTGAAGAACCATGGAACCCACAAAGGGTAGGGCCGAGGCGGACCCCTGAGATCACTGAATCCCAGTGGATGTGGGAGAAACTGAGATCCACCCCCCCGGGGCTGGCTTTGCCCAGATCGGCAAGATGTATCGCCTCTGTGTTCATGTAGCCCAGCGGGGGTCTTCCAGACACTGCAGACCGTTGAGTACCACCCGGCCCCGTGTGTTCCTGGCAAGAGGAGAACAGGCTCCTGACAAACTTGGTGGCAGGGGTGGGTGGGGGTGGCAGTGCCTGAATGGCTGTGGCCCCTTGCTGGGGCGTCGTTCCTGCCACTCAGAGTCATGCCATGTTCCAGCTCCGCCTGCCAGAACTTTATCTCCAGACCAACTATAAAACCAAAAATAAACACTTTTCCAAATCACTAAGCCCTGCCACCCTAACAGCAATTTTCCTCCCGATGCTTTCCAACCTGAAACCACTTATAAACCGAGAACCCCAGTTAATGAAGTCAGCCCCGCGGCGCCGGGCTTGCGGCTCTGCAATATCACCCTCTGTGCCTGCTTCCTCGTCTGTAAAAGGAGGCGAGAGGGCCCGTGACTATACTCCTCAGAGTAACAGGTGAGATGCCATGTACAAGACGAGCTCAGCTCAGCCCCCGCCCAGAGGGGACCACACAGCAGTCAGCATCCTCACCACTGTCCCTGTTAACCTGGAGAAGTGCGGGTATGCGGGAATCTGGGGAACTCAGTGGAAGGTTCCAGAAGCAGGGGGGTCAAGTGTAAAGCAGAAGGCAGAGGCAAGGGCTGGACAGAACTGGGTGTTCAGATGACCACCTGGAAGCCAATGCAGGGCCTGATACGGCCCGTGGGGGTTCTCAGGATGCCGGCCCTGCCCCTCCGCCCCACCCGGCCTGAACCTTGTGAGAGCTCTTCCTCCGCCGGTGGGTCCACCTTCCCGGGGGTCTGCAGCAGGTTGTAGAGGGACTCCGGCTCCATCGCTGCCTTGCTGGCCCTGAGGAGGCAGGGAACCGAGGACGTCACCATCCGAGTCACCCTAACCTCGAGGTGTGCCGTTTCCTCCAGAGTCCGGGAGGCGTGGGGAGAGGGTGGGCGCTGGCTGGGGGTGGACAAGTCACCGCGCTGCCCGAGCAAGGGGACAGGGTGCCTGCTGAGAGGGTCGCTGGAGCCAGTCCTTGCAGGACGCCCCACGGAAACACACTGCGGCTGAGGTCAGAGCCTGTGCAGAGGCTTGGCGGGGAGGGGGCTCCTCCTCGGTCAGGTGCAGCCGGGAGCAGCCAGCCCACAGCCCGTCCCACAGGACACCAGAATCTTCGCCCACCCACCCTCACCCCGGGCAGTAGGACCAAGGGGGCGACCCACTGCTCAGAGCTTCTTGGATCCAGAAAACCCCCTGGCTAACCTCGGGGGGAGATCTGCTGGAGGGGAGAGGGCAGCGGTATGGCAGTGATCACATTGATAAGTGATGTCTGCAGACCAGGAGCTCCTAAACCGGGGCAGGGGTGGGGGACAGGCCTGTCCTCTCTGGGTCCTGAGCCTGAGTCAGGGGGCACAGAGCAGCCCCCCAGCCTCTGAGTGAGTGGACGTGGGACTGGGGTGCAGGCTGGGCTCTCGGGGGTGTGGGCTGGTCCTGCCTGGCTCCAGTTCTGAGCGAGCTTCTCCACAGCGGGGCTTATCATTCTGGCCTGTCAAGGGAGCTCAGGGGTCTCTCTGCTCACCGGGAAGGGCCAGAGCTTTCAGAGCCCGCCCTCCTCATCCTCGCTGGGGGGAAGGGTGACAGGCAGATTCAGAGCCTCCTCCCTGCTCCCCTGGACTCACTTCCTCTCTTGCTGGGTACGGCCCCGCCCCCCCCACTTCCGCTCTGGCCCCTGGGCCTCCCGCAGCGCTTTCAGCCCCAAACAAGACATGTGGGGCTGGGGGGGGCCTCCTGCAACCAAAGCTGGCGGTCAGCTCCAGCCCCCAGGGAGGCCTGGCTGGAGCAGCAGGGCCCAGAGCTGCCATGAGATGGAGGCACTCACAAGACTGTAGTCACGCTGTGGCACGGGCAGCCAGCCTGGGGACTCCGGAGCACTGTCCGTGGCTCCGTCGTGCCCTAAATCGTGGGGGCGTGGAGAACAGAGCCCCTGGGCCGACTCCATCCCCCCGAGTTCCCAAGCCTCCTTTCGGATGGGGTTCTGTTCAAAGGACCAGAGCAGAGGCGGGAACTAGGCCTGGGGGTGGGGGGTGGTTAGGAGATTGGGTTCCAGGCAGGCTCCTCCTCATTCTGGCTGTGTGACTTTGGGCAAACAACCTCCCCTCTCTGTTCCCCACACTCCTTTACCGGGAGGGGCTGAACCTGACGGGCGCCAAAGGCTGCGAGCGTCCACAGGGCTGGGAGCTGCCTCCAGCCATCAGCAGCCGCGGGGGCCCTCCACTCCCAGACCTCAATTTCTTCATCGGAAGACTTGGGGTGGCCTGTCTCCATGGCTGAAGGTTAGGGGAGATGACAGGCTGGAAAAGGAAACTTTCCCGGGCTACTTGAGAGCTGGGAGGGCGCTCTTCTGCCTGCCCAGGCCTCTGGGCTGCGGGAGCGGCCGCCTCTAAGTCTAAGGGGCAGGGGGACCAGCTGGGCGCAGGGTGAGCTCCACCCAGCACCTTCCCCTGGGACCTCGGCTAAGACCAGCTCCGGGCCCTGTTTCCACGAGGCCTCTCAGAGCTTTCCTCTCTGTATGTTTGAGTTCAGGCACTACAGCTGGCTGGGCAGAAAGGCCCAGAACCGAGGACTCACCTGGCTGCTTCCTCCACGCAGGGAAACGAAGGCCACGGGCTCAAGCGCTGGTGGTCCCAGGTTCCAGAGCAAATCGGCAGGGGCCACCCGGGAGGCAGGGGCAAGCGGCTCACTTCCTCCAGGGCCTGTGGCTTCTGCAAAGACGTCCAGGCTACGTCTGCAGGGTGCTTCCTCCCAGCAGGGCGGTAGAACCAGATGCTCTGAAAGCGATGCCACCACAAGCCCCTCCGGAAAGCTCTGCCCCTGCCTACGGGCCCAGCCACACCTCCACGCTCCCCAGACACCTTGCAGGCAGCTCAGAGCTTACACTTCTTCTCTCTGTCCCTCTCGCCTCCCTGATATGCAGACCAAGCCAGTTCCTGAGGCCAGAGGCTGGGAGTCAGCTTCCCCCGAGGCGCCAGCCCCACCATCAGCAAGCTGTCAGTGCTGCCTCCAGGCTGTCCCTCTTGCTTCTTGTCCCCGGCCTGGCCAGGACCCACCTTGTCCTCTCGCCTGGACCACACAGGAGCCTCCTAGCTGGTAACACACTGCTCGCTCAAACCCCGCCTCCTACCCCTGAGTTGTTCTCCACAAGTGATCAGAGGACCCACTTCACATCCCAACTCACTTAAAACCCGCTAGCGGTATCCGGTAGCCCTTAAAATGAAATCCAGTCTGCCCGGCCCAGCCCTAGGTCCTCATGGGACCTGCCGGCTTTGTCTCCATTCTCATCTCCTAACCTCTCCCATCCTCACACCCTCCCAGCCACATGGACAACCCTTCTGTTCCCTGAAAGCGCCACCTACCTTCCTGCTTGAGTGTGGTCACACGTACTACGCCTTCTACCTAGCTTTTAAAATGGCTGAGTCCGCATCATTATCGTCAGCTTAAGTGCCTCCTCCTTCAGGAAGCCTTCCCTAACTGCCTTACCTAAGAAGCAGATCCTTTCATGATCCCATACCACAGGCTCTTAAGGTTCCTTTGTCCTAGTGCCTAGAGCAATGACTGGCACAAAGTGGGCTCAATGGATAAACACTGATGGCTATTGTTGTCTAAGGGGATCAGGAAGTTTTTTCCAAAGAGACATGGGCTTTGATGGATGAATACGAGTTTGCCAGTTGAAGAAAGATGGGTAAGAATGTTCCAGGTGGAGGGAACAGCCTGTGCAAAGGACTAGAGGAACACAAGGAGGCGAGATCCCAGGACAGTGGGGCAGATTCAAGCTGGTCTCTTGAGCTTGAGTCTTTATGAGCCAGGCTGAAATTGAGAGTTTCCATAGCAACAGGTGACAGTGCTGGGTGACCAGAGACTAACCACCCTTTCTCTGCTGACAGATGCTGCAGAGAAGGGGGCAGAGCAAGTGGGAAGCGTGCAAGCAGGAAAGTGAGGCTGTTCTTAAAAGGTCATGAAAACGACCAAAGGTTTACTGATGCTATTGCATGTGTTGAGTGACTGATGATGAAGCAAGCATAACTGTCAGGGCTTTAACTTCACTAGGACCCAGCTTGGGAGGCAGATGCTCTTACATCCATACATTACAGAGGAAGACACAGAGATGCATGGTCTCGTCTGCCGCTCTGTCCCACCTGTATGGGACTGGAGTTTGTGACAACGTGCAGTGAGAAAGAGGCTATCACTCAACACAATTTTTAAAATTTGAACTTCATGTAGAAAGTTATATAATTGTTTTATATAACTATATTAGATTTATCTATCATAGCTTGGGCATCCCTGGTGTCTCAACAGGGAAAGAATCCACCTGCAATACAAGAGAGGCAGGTTTGATCCCTGGGTTGGGACGATCCCCTGGAAGAGAGCATAGCAACCCATTCCAGTATTCTTGCCTGGAAAACGCCATGGACAGAAGAGCTGGCAGGCCACAGTCCACGATGTCGTGAGAGTCGGACAGGACTTAGCACTAAACAATGACGATGAACTATGTAAAGGATGTGAATTTCATTGCTGAATCTCAAGAAGCTTTGCTTGTTATTCTTTTTTTTTGACATCTTACTACATTTGCTTTTTCTTTCACTTTTTTCTGAACCATTTAAAAATAACTTCCAAGGAGGAATTGTGACATGTCATCTCCAAATATTTCAGAATTTATCTCCTAGAAACAAATATATTCTTCTATAGGACACTCTAGAAAATTAACACTGAAATAGTAATATTGTCATTCACACTCAAATTTCCCCAAATATTATTATGTTGTTTACAGGGGTTTTGTTTGTATTATTTTTACTCCAAGTTCCACTAGAAATCATAGGTTTCTCTTGGTGGCAGTCGGCTGCCATGTCTTATCAGGCTTTTAATCTGGAACAGTCATCTATAACATGAATATTTTTAAAGCACCAAGGTCGGTTGTCCTGTAGAATGCTAATTTCACCATCTCTGTCATTCTCTGGTCTGCTTCTACTGACTGATCCTTCTCCTAGTTATGGGTCACATCCTTCTGCCCTGTATTTCTAGGAGTTTTTTTTTTTTAACTGAATGCTAGGTATCAAGGATTTTATGTTATTGGGCAAATTTTGTTGCATTCCTTTAAAGAGCATTGGCATTTTTCTTTTGTTGTTGTTCAGTCGCTGAGTAATGTCCTATTCTTTGTGACTCAATGGACTGCAGCTTACTGGACTTTCCTGTCCTTCAGTATCTCCCAGAGCTTGCTCAAACTCATGTCTGTTGAGTCGGTGACACCATCCAACCATCTCATCCTCTCACCTCCTTCTCCTGCCCTCTTCTTTCTCAGCATCAGGGTCTTTGTCAATGAGTCAGCTCTTTGCATCAGGTGGCCAAAGGATTGGAGTTTCAGCTTCAGCATCAGTCCTTCCAATGAATATTCAGTGTTGATTTCCTTTAGGATTGACTTGTTTGATCTTGCTGTCCAAGGGACTCTCAAGAGTCTTCCCTATGGTTTGAAAGAAGTTTTCTGGCAGGCAGTTAATTGTGAATTACTCTGATACTTTTTCTTGCTTTTAACCTTGACCTCCTCAAACTCTGAGCTCTTCTCCTCAGTTCGGTGGGACCACTGGGCTCTATTTAAGCTGCTCCCCAGTCCAGGACTCAAGCCCAGGCAGTGAGCCTAGGCGATGGTAGGGTTTACCTCATTTGTCTCCCTTTTATTAAGGTTCACAGACCTGCCTTGCCTCTATTCTAATGTCTAAAGTAGTTGTTTCCTACATTTTGCCCAGTTTTCCAGTTATTTCTGCTGGAAAGGTAACTCTAAACATAGAAA